GGGGGGGGCCCCCCCCCCCCCCCCTCTGCAGCCATACATACACTGCTACGTACAGCTACGTGTGCACAGAGGCCAAGAAAGAGCCTAGAAGCATCTTACTCGTCTTCATCTTCTCCGGTCCCCTGTCATCTCCTGCTCTCGTGCTTCATCAAAAGCATCCTCTTCTTCTGCTACATTATTATTTTATTATTCAGTCTCTCTTCCTTCGTCTGCTGTCTCGGACAAGCGGCGGCAGGTCCTCTTTGATGCGTGCCACTCGCATCTCCACAGAGCACTCGCTTTTAAAATTTCCAAATCCCTACCATTTAGGTCCTCCGGTTATTAAGCGGAAAGTGGGTGCGTGCTTCTTCTACAACGCAGGTCGCCGCGCACTTAGCCTCGCGCTACCCTTTCACTAGGACACTTGTAGTTTCACCTATTTTTACATGCCTTGTCAATTTGCGAAAGCATCAGCCTATATGGAGTATTAGTTAACGGCTCTCCTACTATGGGGTCAAACTGTTATCGGCGTGTGTGTAATCATACATATGCTTTACGTAGCCTAATAAATAATGGATGAAGTACGGAAATTAGTGTAGCACGTAATTAGCACGGATTCCCTGCAACTATTGTTCTTGGCAATTTTACGCTAATTCAAGCTGTCCGTGTACCAAGGCAAGTTGTACATACAGAGTATAATATATATATATATATACTTTGAAAGTGGGTATATGTGGCGGGGATAACCTTATCGTTGCCATTGGCCGTTTATCCACGGGAACGCCTTTTATTTCTTTCGTTTGCCGCCGCTGAAACCTGGAAACTAGCTGCTCCCTTAGACAATACGTATAGGTATCGTGAAGAGGCTACGTCAGGTTATGTTAGAGCAGGATATAATAAGAGAGCCTAATGTTTGGAGTGAGAGGCTCTTATAGGCGACTAACGCTAGACCCAAGTGAGACGCTCTTATACGCGCTAGGCCACTGCTGCCAGCGAGTGAGAGGGTCTTATGGGCGACTAGCGCTAGGCGCAAGTGAGACGCTCTTATACACAGTGTGGGCTATCTCTGGGACTCCACTAACTGCGAGTGAGAGGGACTTATGCGGACTCATGTTGATATTTTGTGAGACACTCTTATACGGGACGCCTGGACTCTGGACAGACATGCCGTCCCAAGCGCGGGGAATAGGCTACCCTCTCCACGCGGCGGCCTGGCTTGCTTGCCACCAGTCGCCCTACTCACGCTTCCTACTAGCTCCACCCAAGGACGGCATTAATGTCCCGCAGTGTACATGCCTTCACACATCCCCTGTATACCTATGTATGCGTAGAGGGGAATGGATAACGATCCCCCAGGAGTCCGCGAAACGGCTGAAATTATCCAGGAATCCGTGCAACGTTATTGTCCTTTGCGAAGAACCGGCGGTTGCGGGGCGGGGGGGGG